ATAATACGAGTCCAAGCATGCCTCGGATCGGGCCATCATTTCCCAAAAAGTACTTTCCAGAATCGCCAATTCTCAGATCAATACGTATGAGACCCCCAAAGAGGCCTCCAGAAGAAAAGAAGACCATCGGGGCACCGCAATTGTCGAAATCGGTTTCGTGGTTGGTCTGCGTGTCGCAAGAACAAGAAAAGCTTGCATCGGCAAACGTACAAAGCCATTCCTTTCTTTTCGCGTGAATTAACGTTTCACCCTTTTTGGAAGGTTTCTGCTCCAAAGAATATCTGGAATAAAATGGAGTTCCGATACGAAGTGCGGCTTAGTGCAGAGGAGGGATGACTGGTATCAATGGGAAGTCGGGTCGCCTGCTTCGTGTTATCCTCTCCTCCTCCTCCCAAATTCCGCTTGTCTGTTATTTTCTCTCGCGGGATGAAGTGTTCCTCTCCTCCTTCGGCCGCAGGTGGCAGGAATTAATCATTTCACTTGGGGTTTTGTGGCTTGCAGGCCTGGTTTTTCGAAAATTTCGAAGCGCATACCCTTAAAAAAAAATTTATTCAGGAACTTCGTTCCCACGAAGGCACAGAAAGTGAGAGGGTACAATATCAATTGGCACATGGTACACACGAGGGAGAAGAAAGACGGCGCAGCAGGCGAAGAAGATGAGACAAAGACAGAAGCGGACTTTCAAGAAATGCAAGTGGTCCCGATCTTTCACCGCTGAGCTGGATCTCAGGGGGAAGATCCCGTAAAACACGAATGGAGGAAGAACAGACGTCGGCATTTCGGAGGATCACCCTTCTTTCCATGACGACTCATCGGGTGCAGGGAAAAGAAGGAGAAAAGAGAGGAAGTCGACCTTGCTCTTCTAGATGGAATGTCGTTTTTCCCTGCTAAACCCAGTGCCACGTCTCTCGATGACCCTGGAAAGCGCAGTCCCCGTTCTTCTCTAAATGGCACTCGTTTCCTTCACTTCTCTACGGGTGAGTGGACCCAATTGGGCCACGCTGTACATTTTCGAGACGACAGGCGAACTCGGGGTCGAAGGGAAGAATCCACCGACGAAGCAGGGAAGGCTAGGCTATTCCAATCACAGAGCGTATTAATTTCGAATTTCTTCCGCCAAAGGTCATTTTAGCGCCACGATCCATCACAAAACGATACGGAAACATCACAGTAGCATCCCACCGATCTCTCTTCTCTTTTTATCTTATCCCTGAGAAAAAGTCTCCAGATGTTTACTTCCTTTCCTCTTTTTCTCTTTCTAGCCCTGGTTAACCCGAAATGTTTCTTTTTCTTAAATATATTTGATCGAGATTGACGTGAGATTAAAGAATAATTTAAAAGGAGCTCTGTGATCACAGTGAGTGAAGGCAGCCTGCCCTGCTTTGAAGGCAGACTCTCGCCGCACCGTCAGGATGCCCTTCACGTTCATTTCCCTAGGAGAGAAGGATGGCGGGGCTTGGTGAGCGTGATGTTCTTCGTCGTCATGATCTTGCCGTTCCCTTTCTTCACCGTCGGGACTTCCTCCCCGCTTCCCTTCGCCGAACTGGAAGCTGTCGGGCGCATGAAGCTGAAGCTCTTCTTGGTCGCCAAGGGCGCTGGCTTCATCGTCGGCACCGGGCTCGGCTTGTTTGACGTCAGGCTGCGGCGCGGGGGGCTTTGTATGGATCCGTTCTCTTTCGTGGAATTCTGTCGGGCCAGGGTGGATCGAGTGGGACCGCTCAATCGGGCCGACAGAGTTGGAGTTGGAGTTGGAGTCGAAGTCGACGTGTTCGACTTCATCCGTCTCAGCGAGCCACCCATCGGTACGATACTGTTACTCGTACTTCCCTTCGTACTAGTATTTCGACTAGTACTGTTGATGCTAGGCCCGTCACCTCCAGAGTGTAAGGAGCCATCACTGCTCCGTTTGCTCAAGGTCCCATTGCTAGCTCGAGTTTGAGCTGCTTCGATGTTGTATTCTCCTCTGCGTGCCGGCTTCAAATTCTTCGTCAGATTCTTTAGGGTGTCTGCCATCTTGCTCGGACCCGCCGACAATGTCGCTGTTGCTGCTTGAAGGGGTCGTTGTTTGACTGTGGCAACGGAGCTGGCGCTGGCCAGGGAACTTCGGCTGCTTCTCAAACTTCCTCCTTGCCCTTGTCCTTGTCCTTGCCCTTGTCCCTGTCCCTGTCCTTGACCTTGTCCCTGTCCTTGCCCTTGCCCTTGCCCTTGCCCTTGTCCCTGTACACTGTTCGTCGCTCTCAATGGAAAACGGGTAGCGGTTGTGGCTGTGGCTGGGAACAACTTCTTGTTGTTCGTAGCAGACGTGTCTTCGTAGTTGCAGCTGGAACCCGAGAGTTGACTGTGGGATTCCTCGAATCCCTCGTCTCGATCGTGCTCGTCCGAATCGGACACTTTCCTCAACGAGCCTCTCTCACCTCTTCGTCTCACGAAGGGGGATGCTACCGGTGTGGCTCTAAGACCCGGTTGTGGTTGCTGTTTGTTCGCATCGGCGGGAGATTCCTGATTGTTGAGTCGCTTCGAGCGGCGAGTGGTCCTCCTAAAGGAAGAGTAGCGATCGAAGTCTCCCAGCCGCCCTTCCTCTTCCTCTTCCTCCTCTCTTTCGTCTCTGCCTTCTTCATCGGCTTTGTTGGTCTTGAGGGCGACCTCGTTCTCGCTGTCTGCTTCACGTGCCATCTCGACGAGGCGCTGATATCTCTGCTGGGATCTCTTCCTCTTCATCTCCTCCTCGTCTTCGTCCTCGTCTGACCTCTTCTCCTTTTCCGGTCCGAGACCGAGACTTCGACTCGTGGGCTCCTCGGTAGAACCTCTCCATTTATTGATCCTTCCCATCCTCTTTCTCTCCTCTCTCTTCTTGGCATCTTCGCCGTCTTCCTCCTCTCCTTCATCCTTGGATGGGGGCCGGAAACTTCGAATCCCGAAAGCCCTTCGGGGCACCGGAGGGGTCTCGATGTTCTCCGCATCGATATCGATCTTGTCGAGCGGCTTCTCCTCTCGGTCTCTCAATCTTGACTCTTCTCGTCCTTGACCTTGGATCCGGCTTTTGAGTTTCTCTTGCAAGGCTGCCTTGAGGCTGCTCGGTCCCCCAATTGACGTCGGCTCCGCAGAGGGGCGGCGGAAATACAGGGTGAGTTTGTCCGCTCCGCCTTTTTTCTCCTCCTCCTTCATTTCCTTGATAACCTTGAAAGAGAACATTAGGGAAATAAAGATGATTAATCTATATCAAGCAAAAAAAAATTCAGAAGCAGGATACAGCAACGGGTAGGCCCCCTTCAGCGACAAACTAAGTTTCTTTGCGATTCACTTCACTCGGTGGTTTTCGCCCTGGATGAACTTTACCCAAGCAGCATGTTCACGTAAACAAGATATCAATTTTTTGCAAACAATGTAAATTTCTTGCGATTGCCATGAAAATGACATCACGTTTACGAAAAATTTACGTTCCTATATTTACGTTACCGAAGTGTACGNGTATCACAGAGGTGACATTTCTGCAAACATGTTGACATTTTCTTGCCAATGGTTTGCGTAAAATTGATATAAAATGGACAAAAAATTTACATTCATTTTACGTAAAATTGACATAAACATGCTGTTTGGGTAGGTTCTGTTTATCTTGAACGTCTACAATTGGAGCGTCAAGGAGCCCGACTGGAGCTTGTTTCCGGCAAGGGCCCCGTTTGCCATCGCAAACCCTTTCACTGAGAGCATTTTTCAGAAAGAGAGGATTACAGAACTCCCAGCCTTGTTCCTCGTGGCTTTCCAAACGCATTCGTGACCTCATCTGTGACGAAAATCCCTTCGGTAACTTGTATTGTGAACGAACTCAACGTCCGCCATCCGTTGAGTTACTTCTCTAGCAATACTTAGTAGATGTTATCATCGATGGGCCTGGCAAACCTCAGCCTTAAGATATTCTATAGAAGAGGGTCAGCATTGACTGATGGTAAAGGACATATCAAGTCCCAGGGATACATCTGGAGCCTAGCAGAGATTGACAATTAAAAAATCAAGATGAGTCGGGGGGTGATGGGGGAGACCGGTTCTTCTTTCCCTCCATTTTCTTTCCTTATCAAATAATTAAAAAATGAATTCAAATTCAATCCTCACCTGGGGAAGAACTTTTTTTTTTTTGCCTTTCCACAGCAGGTCGTCAACGTCAATGAAAAAATCACCTTGAGGGCTAAGTCATGTTTCTGATAATATTTTAAACACAATTATTGTTTCATCCAAGGGTAAAGGTCTCTATAGGTTGAGACAAGATGCCGGTTTGCCTAAACGACTCCGCTCAGTTGATTTCCACGATATACATATTACGTAGCTGCGTGAGCTCCATTGGCACCATACCTGGAGAGCAGTTGAGGGAGATTCGACCTCCATGGCATTACGAGACTTCATTCTTCTCAGGAGTTTTCTCCTTTCTGCCTCTTCAGTCTGTTCGCTGGTATTGGGAACATTTAAGGTGGATTTTCGTTGACCGGACTTGTCCTTGTGGTTAACGGCCTCTCCTTCGATGGCTTCCATAGCACCCATGATATCAGCCTTCTCGATCGCTCCTCTCCATTCTCCTCCTCGACTCAGTCCGCCACCTTCCTTTTCCGTTCCCGACAGCCATGCCTGCACCTTCTCTCCTTGAACCGGCCTTTTAAAGGATATAACATTTCTGTTAGGAATTCATAAGTTTTTAAGAGGCTATTTACATTCCTGTTCATTTTCACATATACTAGGAGCAATTAATAACATTGTCATAATGAGGGGGACAAATGGTCGTGATCTGTCCGGCCTCCCGGCGAGTTGTTTTGGGGAAGGTCCTCATCTATTGTGCCATGTTTCTAGTTGATTTCACCTATAATGGAATTGTGACTGTAGTTTCCTAAGATCAGTTTTGGTCTGTGCCATGAAATGAAAGTTAATGAACCGATCGTGTAGATGCATACATGCATAGGCCAAGTTTTATTGATACTAAGATAAAAGTGCAACTCATATTCATCGTAATTTATATCAAGTGTTGAGGGATAGTTCACCTCACAGAAGTGTTACTAGGTAGATGGTGGGAAAATGGTCGCACCCACATTCAAGACGACCCTCGCTCAGGATGACCACCCAATGACGTGACCGAGACAAATGTGGCCACCGTTCGCTGCTCTTTGGAAGATGATTCCCATTGCAATTGCCAGTTTGTTAGCATCTCTGAGGGAAGTATTCACGATATCCTCTATCAAAATATTTTTGTCAGAAAGATATGCGTCCGATGTGCACCCTCATTTCCTTACTCAAGAAAAGAGAGCGGAATGCTATTGCCGAATCCTGGAAGACTTTGGTACCTGGACTTTTGTCCATGACAAAAAGATGTTGATGGGAGTTTCGAGTGAATGCTTCCCTAAGAGACGCTAACAAGCTGGCTTGCCATTGCACTGGCCAGATTTGAATAATATTCCAAGAGGCAGCGTACAATGGTCACATTTGTCTCTGTCAAGGCACTGGGTGGTCAACCTGAGCGAGGTACATTTCGAGGATGCAAGTAACCGTCTCTGATGCACTCAATCCACCTGGAAACACCTCTGTAAAGTGAACTATCCCCCAACACTTGCAATAAATCACGATGAACATGAGTAGCAATATGCACAGTAGCACTAAGTGATGCCAAGTTCAAACATGGAAACTGTGCTGGAGCGAATCAGTCTCTTCCAATTCATGGCACAAGTCAAAATTATATGATCACATCACATATGATCACATATGATCACGTCAACATGAAACAAAGGACAACATGTCCCCATTCCCCAGCACAACCTGCCATAAAGACAGATAGGATCATGTCTGTTTATCCTCTTCCTTAGACAGTGTTGCCAAAACTTATTGAATGCCCCGCGTATATCCAATTTCATATTTTTGTTTGCTATCTTTTGCTTGCATTTCTATTCATTATTCCTTTGAGTATTTATTGAACAAGAGTGAATTAACATAGAAAAGGGAAAATATGCTGACTTGTCCTCGGGGATCTTGGCTTGAGGTTCCTTTTCGAAGGCGATGTCCTCGAGAGCAGGGCGGATTTTCCCAAAGCCCTTCTGTCTTCTCGCCCAAGAGCGGTCCAGGGATCCATATACTTCGGCTGCGGGAAAGTAAAGCCAGGTTATGTAAAGAGTAAAGAACATCGGTAGTCAAGGTTCAACGACCAGTCGATGGCCCTCGCATGTTCAAGTTGGCGATACGTTGGCATCAACTGATTAGACTTGATTCGAGCTAGGCGTAATTACGGTTTCCATCTCCAATTCGACGGTATATCGGGAGTTATACTCTCTGGTGTATACTTAGTACGATGGCAGGTGATGTCGGGGTCACCAGCCATTTAGGTCATCACTGAGACAGAGACGTGTCACGCACAGCAATTCTGCGTGCTATTCTGATTACGTTCGAGGACGGCACGATCGGAAGAATCCCAATAGTCGAGACTCAGACGACCTGTCACGCTGTCTGGTGAGGACCGTATCCTGTCCTAGGACCGTATCTACCCACTTCTTACAGCAACTTGCTTTGACATCGTCGATTTATCCTTCAATTATGAAAAATGTCGCTTACTAAAGCTGTGAGAAAGGAGATGAATTTTTTGGTGGTTCCCTCACCTTCGGCTATTAAGGTGGTACGGGAAGGAAAATCGATGGGTCTGGGA